TATCTGCCACCTCAGCTCACTCTCACGCACAAGCCAAAAAGAGGTCAGAACAGTCTCACCGAGGGTCTTGGAGAGAGGCTGGCTTGGGCGTTGTGGAGCTGTTGGAAGGTGTTTTTCATGGTGCCAGCAGCTTTCTGCTGCCTCGACAGCACTGGCAGTTGTCTCTGCAGGACGTGAACTTCGACGGTCTGGATGGGATGTCTGAATGTGGCTACTCTGGAGAGCTATGGACCTCTTGGCTTCAAGGACTTCTTGGATGGAGCTTCAAGGTCAAGGCAAAAGGGAGGACAGCTGAGAGAAAAAGAGGCTAAGAGGAGAAAAGAGGGCTTTGAGGGTTTCATCCCTGTCTAAAGGGAGCTACAGTAGAAGACCAGGAAGTCTTGGGCAGGAATTGCAGCACCGTGTTCATGCACTGCCTCCCCACAGCCCTGGTGTTTCCCACCTGCTCATCCCCTGGCTCTTACAAATACCTTGGGAGCTCTTTAAAATCCCCCTTTTCTGGTGGGCTTTCCAGGAATACCTCGATCCAGCACCTTGCAGTCCTCTCCAGGGAGTGGACATAGGAGGACAGGAAAGCAGCAACTGTTGGGTGCAAAACCTGCTTTTCTGAGCTCGAGCATCCAGCAGCCCAGAACGCAGACAGGGAAGGTTTGACTTGGTGCCGGTGGGAGGTCTGGGACCAAAGCAGAAGAAAGTTGTAATGTCATGGAGCTGGATTCTCCCTGGGAGAGCTTAGCAAGCCTGCTGGACGTGGCTGATGAACTGTGATGCTGTTCCCAACAGGAGATGCTCACTTTGAGCGATGGGGCTGTGGGGGGTGGTGGTGGGGTCTGTGCTGCTCAGGAATAGCACTCAGGTAGCTGAGCTTTTTTGACTTTCTGAGTTGCTACAGCGAGTTGCCAGGGTACCATTTGAACTTCAGCGGTCTGAAGTTCAAATATTTCTGCATCTTCAGTTCACCCTTTTTCAACCCTCTCAAGGGGTGTTTGAAAAGCAAGGTTTAAAAGCGCTGCAAGCCCCAGCGCTTGTGATACGACCTGTCTGCTTCATAGGCAAGGATGCAAGTTGGGTTCAGGTTCTTGATCAGACCTTGAAGCTCGAGAGTCTGCTTTGGAAAAACTCTGCTCAGAAAAAATTTATTTTCCTGGGGGACCTGGGCCAGTAGATGCATGTGCATCTGACCCCGCTGGTATTTAGTTTGCAACACTGAAGGAGCAGGTTTTACCATGCAGATGTGGTCATGAATTTCCCCTCCCTCTAGTTTTGTAGATATTATATGCTGCTGTTACCTCCTTAGTGGATGTTTTCTTCCCAAGAAGTGGTTGCTTTTTAAGTGTATAGTGCATACACAGTTTGCAAAGGGAAAGCTGTACGTGCAGAATGTTGCCGTCAGCGGCAGGTCACAGCACACGGTTGTTTTTAATGCATAGCACTAGTTTAGTGGTGTCTTACAGCGAGTGTGTAAGCTGATTGCTCAAATAAGTTTCTTTTCAGTTTGTTCTTTATTCTTTCTCCTTGACTGGGTCAAAAGAGGACAGGGTGTCTACCACAGAGTATTGAATTAAACCCTGGGGAGCCAGTGCCTGTCCTTTAAGGCCCTCTGCTCCTGGCCAAGGGTGTGTTTCTGCCTGCTCCATCAAGCCTGCTCAGCTGCACCCCTTGTCCAGGTATAAAAACTCCCTGCAAGCAGGGCTGGGGTGTTGCTGGCAGGGGTTGGGTTAGCTACTGTCTTTTTTTGGGGGGGGGGGGGG